TCTTTAGTAAGACTTCTCACTCTAGTGCAGTTGTTATTAATTTCACTGTTTAAGAAAAAATATAACAGAAAACAGGAATAGACACTCAAACATATGTACCACAAAAATAACGTTTGTAGTAATAAGAAATATATATATATATATGTGTGTGTGTGTGTGTGTGTGTGTGTGTGTATATATATATATATATATATATAATTATTTATTATATATATTACTTATTGAAAGCGGTACTTTTCACGCTTTTGCGAAAGACAAACTAACTAACATAATAATGTCACGCAATCCACATAAACAAAATTATTTCAGTTTGTCTGACGATTCACAAACTCACATCAATCCAACAAAATATATATATATATATATATATATAATGAGACAGACTGTTTCGCTGTTTACAGCTCATCTAGACATCCGTTTTCTAGCTAGGATCGAAACCTTTGGTGTCGTCAGACAAACTAACCACTAACCGTAACTTTGTGGGAATGGAATCCATTTTAAACTCAAACTTTTGTAAAAATTAATCAGTTTGTCGCGAAGACGCTATATTAGCTATAATAGTCACTGTTTACAAAAAAAATCAAATTCGGAGCTAATATAATGTCATCCACAGACAGACTGTTCACATCAATCCATCAATATATATATATATATATATATATATATATATATATATATATATATATATCCATGTGAAATGAAAACGAATAGAATCCAATTCTGACGTTCAATTTTCAATTTAAAAGAGGGTTTAATGCAAAAGAAGAGAAATATTCTTTATTTTAGGATATTACATGAAAAACATGTAAAAACGCTACACAAATGCAATCCTGTTTCGATGTGTATTAACACATCTCGTCAGGCGTGAGTAAATAACTGGCGAGTAGACAATTTATTGAGATCTAAAAACAACATACAACCTCTTTTCACGAGAAAAGAAAGGAAAAAAAGCGTAAGAAAGAAAGAAAGACACAAGATAACCCTCTTTTCCCGAGAAAAGAAAGTATAAGAAAAAGAGTAAGAAAGAAAAGAACTGAGTTAGCAGCAGTTTTTTTTTTAATTTTTTTATTTATTTATTTTTTTTATTCAGATCAACCAATCGGAACGTCCTACGCTAATTTTAAATTAAAGGGAAAAACGAAAGTTAAGAAGCAATCATGCGTAAGAGGTCATGACCCACAGATTTTATTTCTTATTTTCTGTTTAGCATTGGGGGGGTTTCTGGTCTCTTCTAAAGTCTTTATTTTTTCTTTGTCTTTCCCTCTCTGTGGTCCCCGTGCGTCTTAGTGGCTTTACCACCTTCTGTGTGTTTTTGCATGACGATCTTCATACTAGCACTACCATTATGACATGCAGTAGTCTGCTAGAGGAAAATAACAGGGAGCATATATTCTGGCTGTGCTGAATCAGCTAATTCTCCTGACTCTCTTCAGTCAAACTAAAAAAAAAAAATAATGATATTTGATGAGAAGAAATAGCCATCTTGGTCAGTTCGTAAAGGAAAATGATTTGGATATGTATAACGGGGTAGACATTAAGGATAGAAATTAAAAATTCATAAAACGTATAACAATATAACAACATGAAGACTTGAGACACGTGTTGACATTATAATAAGAATTTGTGTTTTTCTTTTACGTGGTGTGAATTACAGATATCGGTGTCGTGTGTGTGTTAAAAAGTTCTCAGTGTTATTGTATCTTTTTTTAAAAAGTTTGTGCTTATTTTTTTTTTTTTTTTTCTTGTTCCGAGAATTTCGTTGGTGAGGATAACATTTGATATCGTTAGTTTTCGATTTTTCGGAGCGAATGTGATAAATTGTTTGTGTTCATTTTTACTACTGCTTTTGCTACTCTACTCTAGTCTACTGACAGTGTGACCTAACTGCCATTCTTGTGGTGGAAGGGTCATTTTTATAAGCAGATTTTAGAATGATGAAATATACTTATTTCCTATCATCACTGATGGCAAGGTTATTTTAGAATGATGAACTTTTTTATCTTTTTCAGGGACGATGAAATATCCTGATTTTCTACCATCACTGATGACAAGGTTATTTTTAGAATGATGAAATATCGTCATCAATCTGGACTATAACAGATGTCTGCCACCAATAGATTGAATCTTAATTGAATGTTAAGCTTTTTGAGTATTAATGTTTTATTAGTTTATCATATTTATTCACCTTATCTTTTTTTTGACACCATGAAATAACGAAAGATGATTTCCGAGAGCAAAACGAAGTATTAAATAATAGTTAAATTAAGGTTAGTAACAAAGAAAAGATTGCCGAACTACTATACAATATAAATCCTCCTATATGATTTTCGGTTGTTTTGTTTTACGGCATATTAAACTCCATGGGTTATTTAATAGCGACAAGATTTTTATGATAGGTTCATATGTATAGAATATGTATTCTTTGTAAGAAATGAGTTTGCTTTGGTTTATTTTGTTTTACGGCATATCAACCTCAGTGGGTTATTTAATACCGACAAGATTTTTAGGATAAGTTCGTATGAATAGAATATGTATTCTTTGTAAGAAATCAGTTAGCTTTGATTTATTTTGTTTTACGGTATATCAACCTCAATGGGTTATTTGATGCTGACAAGATTTTTAGGATAGGTTCTTTGTAAGAAATGAGTTTGCTTTGGTTTGAGTAAACTCAATGGTTTATTTAATGGTGACTTTCTTAAGAAATCAGTTTGCTTTGGTTTATTTTGTTTTACCGCATATCAACCTCAATGGTTTATTTAATGCCGAGAAGATTTTTATGATAGGTTCGTATGAACAGAATATGTATTCTTTGTAAGAAATCAGTTTGCTTTAGTTTATTTTGTTTTATGGCATATCAACCTCAGTGGGTTATTTAATGCCGACAAGATTTTTATTGCTGGTAATATGTTTTCCAAAAATGAATTGATGGTAATAATTTTTTCTCCAAAAATATATTGCTGGTATTAAAACCTATTTTATACTTTCATAGTGTTTTGACCCCGTTGGGGTAGGTTAACTATTTGCCTATAGTTACATTCCATCATTGCCGATCGAACCCTGAACTATCACCAATGACGATTAAGGGATGATGTGCCCTCAGTATTGATTTTAAAACGTAGAATATGCTTCACGTCCAGCAGTGTCAATTATTAAATCAGTATTACACCAAGGTTTAATTTTAATATGAGCACTGGTAAAAAATGATGCTGAAAACATTAGGTTTATTATACTCAGAAGTTCAAGGACACATGGCACAATGGCTAAAGGCGTTGGTTAGATCCAGTGACAGACCCAAAGAAGGTGAGTTCAATACCTGGTTAAGGCAGTGGAGAACTTTCAGAGGGAAAATTAGCAGGAGATAACTGATAACTGACATCCATCAAACATGGCACGTGGAACTAGAACCAGTAATCGAAATAAAGGTTCAGTTCGAAATTCCAACCACCTGAAGAAGGCCGGAACGTTGCGACAAATATGCCGACAAAGATGAGGACAATAATAAAGGTTTAATTTGTTATGCAACAAGCACTCCCGTCACATTGACTTTTATTTCAGGTTCTCGTTTTTTTTTTTTTTTTTTTTTTTTTGATTTATATTTTTTCTTGAAACAAATCCTAAAACTTTTGTTCAGCAAAAAAATAAATAAATAAATAAATAAATAAAATAAAATAAAATAAATAAATAAATGATTTATTTATTTATTTCAACGTTTTATTTCATATTTAATACATGGGATCGCGAAAAATCTCGTGATGAAAAATAGGGTCATGAATAAAAAAAAAAGTTTAAGAAGCGCTGATCTATATGAATACAGGACAATTTTCCCACGGATAAAAATGAGACTTGATCATAAGAGACTGAGCGCTTCAGAAGGATGCTGAGAATAATATGGACAGAAAGTGTCAGCAACGAAGTTTTCAAGATAAAAGCCTATAGTACTGAGTACTTTATTACTAGTTGAAATTTCTGTGGCGTATAATGAGAAAAGAGTGCTTGGGGAATCTAATACCCAAAGTAAATATTGACGGTAAGACGTGGGGCAGAGGAAAACAGCGAGTAGCCTGTCTAACGAGCTTGTGTACATGAACGGCAGAACAAGGACTGCGAGGGATAGTAAGAGGACAAACAAGGCTTAGAGTTACAAGGGATAGGAAGATGTGAAGAGCCATAATCACGTACGGCCTGAAGGAACATGGCACATAAAAGAAGAAGATTCTCTAATTTATATTAGAGAATTTATATAACAAAATATGACTGTAAACATCAGACTTACACACACGTACGAGTGCGCATGCGTACATACACATACACTGTATAGAGGGAGGGGTTAGAGTTCAGACAGGCTTTTGAGGCAAATGAAAAATTAAATTAAAAAGAGATTTTTGACTCGGTTAACCTTCCCCAGCCTTGCCGAATTACTCATCATAATTATCTATTAACGACTATTACTGTAGAAATGACCGATTTACTCAACCCCAACGTACTTCAGACTCCCCCCCCCACGTCACATATCTCTTGTTTTTCTTTGATTTTTTTTTATTTTTACTTTTGCTTCCATATTGTTATTGTTGTATCCGACCTCTGCCTTGGCATTGATAGGTCACAGAGATAAAAAGCCTTATGCCTTCGTCCAATGATATCAATTTGCTTTTATTTTTATTTTTTTTTCTTCTTTTCATTTCGTTATGATTTTTGCCCAACACGGCGACGCTAGACACAAGCACATCAGATAGACATGTATTAAAGTAACATCAGGGGGAAGCTGGGCGGAAAGGAAGGTTTCAGGCGCATGCGTACACACAGAATTACGAGGCAGGGCGAGTTAACAGGTTTTCAAATGCCAACAAAACGGACATGATTAGATACGAATTATTAGGCACAGACCGACAACTGCACGCATGCACTCTCGCCTCTAAATGCGTGTCGGTGGGAGCTGCACAAACGAACGTGCCATCGCGAATAGACTACATGATTTAAACAACACAGGGAAAGACCATAAATATACGCGGTTTATAGTCAGAATTGTTTCTGTATGCGTTCCTATTTGTTTGTTTTATTTATTTATGACTGCTTCTACTCCGCTTTTTGTGAGATGATGAATGAGAAATTCAGAAAACATATCTCTCGGGTCTTAGGCTGATATTCACGTCATTTTTTTTTTTTTTTTTGTGTGTGTGTGTGTGTGTGTTAGTATTAACTTGCAGGACACAGAAGCAAGGGAGGAGGGTTGTCAGCTTGGGGAAAGGATACGGGAGGAAAATTTCGATTCAGGATGCTCCCTCCAAACCTGTCTAAATCATTGTTGAAGAAAAAGTTTTTTTTTTTTTCAATAACTTCTTTTTCTTTTTTGAAAACAAATAAAATATCTACATATGTCTCATCTTCTTCTTATTATTATTATTCGTATTATTATTATTATTATTATAGATTATCGTCGACTTACAGCCTATGCGACTTACGACTGTTCTAGTTTACAACCACGAGCGCGAATTGACATAGGGCCCAATACTGCATCGCATCTAGCAGTGTGAGTGTTTCGCTGCTTGCTGGACGACAATTTTCGCTCCAGCTCCCAACATCGATGGTCCATAACCAAATACCAGCGGCTAATAAAATGTTTTGTATTTGTATTTTTTTTTATCATGCTTTGTAACTAATTTTTTTTGTATGTTTAGCAAATATTAAACAAATCGTACTTTAGTATGCGATGTCTGACGAACGTAAAAATAAGAAACAAAACAATGTGTAGAAAGATGATACAAAGTGTATCAAATGAAAAAAAAACCCCAAAAAAACATGTCAAAAGAAAGATAAACAGACTGCAAAATTAATTATAGACCTACTTACGACCAGATCAATTTACGACTTGCCGGTCGTAACCAATTGTGGTAATAAAGTCGACGACGCTCTGTTTTCTTCTTCTTCTTCTTCTTCTTCTTCTTATTATTATTATTATTATTATTATTATTATTATTTCCTTTCTGTTGTATACTTACTTTCCTTCTCGGTCCTAACCAGAGACCTATGGTCAGAAATGGCACCACGACATTTTTCCGCTTTCCATTTTTTCGCAAATAAAATAAAATATAATAAAACAACTTAGCAACATCGCCATTTTACATAGCTAAATCTCTTCGTAAGGTGGATTCTGTGCTCGTGAGAACATTATTATTATTATTATTGTTGTTGTTGTTGTGGGTTTTTTTGCCTCGATTTCTGTTGTATTCACATCTCCTTCCTGGTCCCAACCAGAGACCTTAGGTCAGAAATGTCTTCATATTTTCCTCTGATCATTTTTATAAAAAAAAAACAAACAAACCTAAGATCACACACATTTGGTATAGATAAAGTTCTTGGTAATGTGTGTGCTTTACTTGTGAGTACAACTGTTTGTATTTCTTTAAGGTATAGGCTACCAGGAATCCCTTCAGTGTGTCTATTGGAACCATTTCCAATCAATCCGTTCGCTCCAACTGCAACTGCAATTGATGTCCTCGCGTGACACATTTTTTAGATTATTTTATATTATTATTTTTATTTTATTTCCTTTTATTTCTGGTGTGTATACATTTCGTTCCGGGTCCCGCCCAGAGACCTAAGGTTAGAAATGGCATCATGAAATTTTCACTGACAAAAAGAAAATTACATAGATAAAGCCGTTCGTAAGGTGTGGGCTGTACTCGTGAGAACATTTTTTTTTTATTTCATTAATGCATGGGCTTCCAGTAATCTTTTCAATTAGTCTACTGGAATCTTTTCCGATCAATCTGAGGGCTCCAACTACAACAGGGATAGTTCATGTTTCCATATGCCACATTTCTGAGATTTGGATTTCAAGGTCATTGTATTTTGATAGCTTTTTGAAGATCTTCAAAGATTATTATTATTATTATTATTTGTGTATTTAATGTTTCCTGCTTTGTATCCTGTAGAGACGAGTTCAAACTATGGTCCTTAGGCCCTGAAGGAGAATTGTCATTTAATTGATAGCATTTTTCTTAATATATGTGATAAAGCAATTTTGTTATTTATTGAAAGAACAGCACGGAAATAAAGTGGCACTAAGGTACAAATATACAAGGCCAACATATTCATCATGGCATCCAGACGAAGAAGGATATTCAAAACAGATTATTATTATTATTATTATTATTTGTTTATGTTATGTTTCTTGCTTTGTATCCTGTAGCCGGGTCCAAATTATGGTCCTTACGCCCTATAAGAGAATTGTCATTAAATTGATAGCACTTTTCTTAGTATATGTGATGTTCCTAGTAGGGCGAACTTCTAGATAACCTGTATGTTGATATTACCTGGGACACTGTTAGTAAAATTTTCTATTTCTCTTCTCACGAGACCCAGTGCTCCGATAACTCTTGGTACAGTCTCAGTCTTCATTGCCCACATCCTGTTAATCTCGATCTCCAGGTCGTTGTATTTGGATAATTCCTAGATGATTTATATGTCGGTGTTTCTCTCAGATGGTATTGTTATGTCAATAAGCATCCACTTCCTGAATTTCTTGTCTTTTATGATAATATCAGGTCTGTTGGCTTTTATTTCCCTGTCAGTTTCAATTGGCATGTCCCAATGGATAGTTACATCGTTATTTTGGGTATGTGAGGATTGTCCTCGGCGTGGTTTTCCTCTAGTTCTCGTTGGGTAGAGTTTGTTCCAGTTGCAGACTTATCGATCCCAGTCTGGTTCGTCATTGGGGATCGCGGTCCTTGTTGACCCGCGTGACGTCCGATGCGGTTTAGCAACACTTTTCGTTGTGTCAGCATTATAGCTAGTTCGTATTTACCCATACGTGAGGGCTGGTTTGTAGGCTTCAGGCATATGCATACTATGGTGGCCCATCATGTTCAAGGGCCCAAGCCTTCTCCTGCTATATTATTGTTATTATTATTATTATTATTATTATTATTATTATTATTATTATTATTTCCTTTGGTTTCTGATGTATACTTATTTCTTTCCGGATCCCAACCAAAGATCTAAAGACAGAATTGGCATCACGACATTTTTCACTGAGCAGTTCTGAAAAACAAATTACACATATTTTACATAAAGCCTTTCGTAAGGTGTGGGCTGTACTTGTGAGTACAATTTTTGTATTTATTTAAAGCTTGGGTTACTATGGATTCTTTTTATGTGTCTATTGTAATCTTTTCCAGTCAATCCGAGGGCTCCAACTACAACAGAGATTGTTGATGTTCCCATGTGCCACATTTTTGAGATTTCGATTTCAAGGTCCTTGTATTTTGAAGATCTTCAAAGATATATTGCAGTCTGCAGGGACTGCCATATCAATAAGGAGGCAATTTTTTTGCTTGCGGTCTCTGATTATTATTATTATTATTATTAACAACAGTTTCCATACAGAAAGCCTTCCACATTTATAGACTGAAGAGTTAGTGTTAGAAAATCTTTTTATTAAAATAGTTTTTAATGAAATTAGAGTTCTTTAGGCCACTAAATGTTATAGCTCTTGTATCGATAGAGCTTTCCACCTATTGTTTTTGTTCCTGTAGAAGCATAAATGCTTAATTAGATCATTTTCTCTTCTAGTTGCATATGCTACACATTATTTTTGTTACTACTGCTACTGGAAGTGTTTAAACGACGGTATATTTGTTATTTGGCATAGCTCTTCCTCTATGATTATGTAGCAACCGTCTATAGAACCTTATGAATAGTCGTCATGGATTTTATAGGATTCATTTGAAACTATCTTTAACTTCTGATCTAACGAAACCGTCGTGTACAGATTATGTTGTAAGGTCAAAAACTTTGTTTTATTAAGTAAATTTTCTACTTAATAACCGAACAAAATAGTTTGCAGTGATTCTCGATGTGGGCTCTGAGGTCTCCCAATCTGTGTGGGAAACGGTAATATTAGCCGTTTCCTTATAAGGAAACATTAGGCATTTATTGATCGAGCAGCCAGTGCTACTCAAATTACGCTTTTCTCAACTCACTAGACATCGGTCAAAGTGTAGTATCTGTTCTAATTTCTATATTAACGGTAATATTAATATAAGAAAACCTTCGGTATTTATTGACCGAGCTGCCAGTGCAGATCAAATTACACTTTTCTCTATTCCCGGGATATCGTACTTGGATCAAAGTGTAGTATCTATTCTTCTACTCTGTAATGTAAACGAAAATATTAACCGCTTCCTCATAAGGAAACATTCGGTATTTATTAACCGAGCAGCCAGTGCAACTCAAATTACGCTTTTCTCCACTCCCTGGACATCGTGATTGGATCAAAGTGTAGTATCTGTCCTCCTAATCTGTAATGTTAAAGGTAATATTAACCATTTCCTTATAAGGAAACATTCGGTATTTATTGACCGAGTAGCCAGTGCTACACAAATTACGCTTTTCTCAATTCATTAGACATCATGCTTTATCAAAGAGTAGTATCCGTTCTCCTGATCTTTATATTAACAGTAATATTAACCGTTTCCTTATGAGGAAACCTTCGGCATTTATGGACGGAGCAGACAGCGTTACTTTCGCTTGAAATTTATAAAATATTTCACAACTACGGTAACTGTAATCGTTCTTTCCCGTACTGATGGGATTTTTCTTTCATCGTGTTTTGTTTGTAGCTGTGTTTAATGTCAGCATCAAGTTACATGTGCTATCCATTTTAGGTGCTGTTATCATTCCCCTGAGGGGAATTGGTTTCTCTTATTTGGTACATATGTGCTTCAAACACGTGTTTCGCGAACTACAGTTGTTGATCCCTAGTAAGTCGTATTGGCTTTCTTGAGGCCAATACCACAAAGCCGTCATATCTGTTTCTCACGAAATCCTTCTTTTCGTCAAGCAGAAGGTTTTCTTTCACATTATTCAATTTATTCGGACTATTGTCCTCATCTTTGTCGCCATAGTTATTACAACGTTTCTGCCGCTGTACGC